TCTAAATCGGAGTGAAAGTGCCGCTCTTTCACGCTCCGAGCAAAGGCATATGCTAGGGCTGGGACGAGATTGCCGGGGGTCGCTGTTCACTCAATGGGCCTGGTCCGGTATGATGCAGGTGCATACGAACCTAAGTCACAGATCCTGAAAAGATAGGGAAAATGTTAGCGACGCAATCAGAAGCTTGAACGAGCGAGCGGCTGATTATGGAGGAGCCTGTTTCATGCGAGACTTGCGCACAGAGGCAGCCCTGAGAAGAAACGTGCGAACAAGTGAATCAAGTAAAGCGCCAGTTTCGTCAGGCCAGGCGGTTTCGCAACGACCAAGCAAATAATCTAACTGTAAGCGCGGGGGAGAAAGGGCCAGTTGTGCCCAGACGGAATGCTCAAGTGCAGCCTCAATGTTCAACCACATCAACCGACGTGATAATGCATACTCAGGGCAGACAAGCAAAAAGTGTTCTTCGTCTTCAATGATGCTAAAATTGCACAGGGAACAGGCTTTCCGGGCCGATGTCGCCGCGTCTGCCGCACCGTGTTGGGTACGAGCGTTGAGACCGAAGCAACGAGAGCGCGAATAGAACTTGATCAGAGCTGATTTACGATCATCACAGAATAGGTAACGTTCAACGGATTTGCACGTCTTTGATCGAAGATAATGTTCACGCGCGGAAAGACCAGATTGCGGGACAGGGGGTTCGTGGAGAGCCTGCAACCATTCCTCGTTGTCTAATTCAGAGACTCGTCGATTGCATTCGCGTTTCAAAGCATAATCGGACTGAAGCAAAGGAGGAGGGAGGCCGGAAGTCCACCAGGATTCTAACCCCAATTCGACAAGGGTTTCGTAAGCTTCTTTGCACCAACAAGACGGAGTAGAGGTTGGGGGGAAAAGTGAGGTACATGAGGCATCCGACTGTGCGACTGCAAGAACGAAAACTCGTTTAGCAAGGCGATCATCGGGGAGGCGAAGAAGCCGAACAAGAAAGCGGAGTTTGGCAAGGCGCAGGTGCGATCGAACAGACAAGCATCCAAGATCGCCAGACACAGCTTCACGGATGATGTTAGAATCACCCGCCTTGCCAAGGATCTGACGTCCTGCAGAGGTCTGTGCTACCTCCAAGGACTCGAGCGCAGATGCACTAGGGGCCGACCAGATTTCGGATCCATAGAGAAGGCGAGACCGTGCAAAAAGACCCCACAGAGTGGACAAATGTCCAACAGTGAGTCCTTGATCAGGATTATCAGTAAACGAGTACAGGTGACCCATGCTATGGCGGCACTTTTCTATGTTCTTTCGGATTGCATTTAGCCAATTGCCGGATTTGTCGAATTCAATCCCAAGATACGTGTAAGAGACAACATCCTTGATTGTGCGACTGCCTAAGTTCCAAGAGCGATCTTTTAACGTCCGAGTTTCGCAGTGGCCAAGGCTTACAACTTTAGATTTGGTGGCAGAAACTGTAAACCGCCATCTACTAAAGTACTGTGTAGCAACATCCATCATCGCCTGCAGGTGCAGTTCCGAGTCAGCAATCAAAACAATGTCATCAGCAAAGAGAAGACAACCGATGCGGATTCCAAAGAAATCGATCCCCATGTTTACTGACTGCAATGCATCTACGAGGGGGGAAATAAGAAGCGAGAAAAGGAAGGGTGATAACACAGCACCTTGACGAGTGCCACCTTCAACAGGGAACCAGTCTGACAAACCGGAGTCAGTAAGCAGAGCCGAGGAGCAGTCAACATAAAGCGACTTGATTATACGGAACATTTTACCGTTGACATTGGCTTCGTGAAGTCGTCTCCACATTCCCTCTCGCCAAGAAGACGGGAAGGCAGATTCCAGATCGATGAAGCATAAAAACGTCGTGGCTTGTTTCAATTGCTTTCGGGCGTCAAGGATTTCGCGAAGGATATAGGCTTGTTCTAAGGGAGAACGACCTTTCCGAAAACCGGCTTGTTCGTCAGGGAACAGTTCGGTTTCATCTGCATAACAGTCTAGACGTGTGAGCATAACCTTCTCGAAAATTTTGGAGACGGCAGAAGTCAGTGAGATGGGGCGGTAAGAGGAGGGCAAAAGCATGTCGGCATCAAATGTCAGATGTCAGATGATGCCTCTGCCAGATCTGGCACCATTGAAGCATGAATTGTATACATGCATCATTTGAATCCCTTCATCAACGACTTGGTCTTTAATTAGGCGTGCTGGCACATCTTGTTCGATCTCAAGCAAGCAAGCAGGATATCAGCCATGTCTTTTGGCCCACCAAAAATTGACAAGATTAGACGTCAATGAGCTGTGACGCTTTACGCAGCAATTTGACCCGCCCTGGTCAATCAATCTCAAGAAGCATCCTCACAGCGTGCCGATCAGGCGCATAGTATGACTCATGCCGCGACTCTACCGAGAAGCCAAGTTTTTTGTAGAGCTGGAATGCAGCGGTTCGAGATGGATCGACATGGAGTGCAACGCTTGCTATTCGGCGACCCTTCAAGCGCTTGACTACAGCTTCGATAAGAGCAGATGCATACCCTTGCTGTCGGTATGCTTCGTGGACTGCATCAAGTAGAAAGACGACTTGTGACTTTCTTGAAAACATACGTTGTACATTATGAATGTACAAACAAGACCATCAACGAACGGCGTCAACCTTCATTCGACTTCTCGAAGGCGTCCATTCTCCCTTGAGTATTTCTTAGCGAGTCAACAGCCTGCTGGCCGCAAAGAAGCACCAGCTAAAGGTCCCTACGCAGCTTAGGTGTCAGAAGTTGCTGAGAGCCTTGCCTCTTGCCAAAATCGAGAACAGCCTGCTTGGCATCAAAAGGAGGATCCTAGAGTTTTCAGATGTGACTTTAGGTCTCAATCTTTGCCCCATGCACAGCAGGATCTACGATGTTTAAGCGAAGGTATTGAGGAGGGACAATATTCGTAAACGACCTTCATAACCATAGGACGCTTAAAGATGCAGACACAAGGTTGAACCTCTTCCAGCCCCTCCTGCTCTCTGATAGAAGTGCTGAACCGGCAGGAATGTGAAGAGACCTTCAGCCAAGTCACGCTTTTACATAAGAAAAGTTTTCGTGGCGAAACTGCCTCCCCTACAAAGCTGTCACACTCAAATCTTTCAGGCAAAGGATGCACTCAGAACTGGGCCTCAAAACGGAATGGCTTCATTGATACTTCTTATCATCAGAATATTCGCTACTCTCAGATAGCTCACCTGCTAGCTTGGTGATATTACCCACCAGTGAACTGGCAGTGAATATGATGTACCCGACCACTGGGGGGAGTGGTTCGCTTTCCCCAGCTTTGGTTACATCCGGAGGTTCCAGATTTGAATGGCTCTGCTTCGCTCTCACGAACATCAGAGTGGTCCCTCTCCGGTTGACTTCCTCCTTGAGATATGAGGACATAGACTCATGCTTTGGGAAGATGCGCTTTTCCAGGGCCGCTATTTCACTGATAACAGGGTCTAGAGAGCCCTTCTTCGGTGGTATGTACAGCTCAACATTCATCGCACTGCATTCTCGAGCTTTATCTAAAAGCAGATAGGTCAGGATGGAACAGGGCTGAAGTACAGTCTTACAGGAGCTGGCACTATTCTCCTTGACAAGAAGTGTCCTGAAAGCGCACAGTTACATAGTCTCCTGATCACTGGAGTCTCCTGATCACTGGTACTTTTTAGTGGTTTCTACTCAGTGAACCACCACCTGTCATCAAGCACTGAGCGTGCATTTGTAGACTTTTGCCTTTCGGCCTGGCGCGCGCTGTACTGGTGAAGGCAGTGCAAATCCCCGTTGCAACCTGCATTCGTCAAAGATTTTAGCCTACTCTGACGCTCTCACGACTTCAACAACGCAATAATCGCCAGGACAACCACTACTTATCTTGCTCTCGATAAGACCTGCCAATGCTTTTTTTACACAAATTGCGTGGACACAGCGGTGAGATCAAGAAGGAATCAGCATTTCAGCTCAGTACGGTAGCGCATGCTGTTCATGAGATGGGGGCTTATTGTCCTTCCCTTCCACCGACTGATCCTTTGCCAGAAGCAACCTCGCGATTCAGCCCTGTGTAGGGCCTGGTCCTGACTCAATAATCCTCCCTGCGCCCCACAAATGTTGCGCCTGCATGGCTAGTGATTGACAGAACTAGCAATAGTACTACTACTAGCATTCCAGCATTCCAGCTTCCAGCATTCCAGCATTCCTCTTTTGGCAAATTGCATCTGCAGCAGACCCTCCAGGTGGCGTTGTTTGGTAACGCTGCTGCAGTGGTGCTATGAGTGTTACCTTCAAGTTCGCTTGCCACATTTCTGGGCTTCGCGGCTTTCTGGTACAGCTTTATTAGGGTTTGCTCCTCATTTGGGAACTTTTGGGATATTTTCTCCACTTCGTTCCAAATCAAAATCTGTACCGTGTTGCTCTGCTGAGTTGCTGATTCCGTAAAAATTCCGCAATGGCGCCAGCAATGCAGCTGTGGTCGTCAACGGGCTCCTCCTCAGCTACCATAGCTGCCAATCATCTGCGCTGTGGCAGCACCGCTTTCACGAATGTAGGAACCACCGGGTGCAAGGAACAGGCTTCCGCAGCGCACTGTCTGCGGTCAACACCCAATCAACCCTTCCTTAGACAACAGAGAAGTTTAGGACCAAATCGGGACTGCATTCTGAGTCTGGCGTGCTTCGTGTATCAGTCTTACAAACAGAGGACGAGGCAGCGGTCAGTAATCAAAGCCTCTTCCAAAGGAGCGCACGAGACGGTTGCTACTGTGCCTCAGCCGCTTGCAGACACGTCTCCTTCATATGTAACTAAGCGCTCAATGCTGTCAGGGTTGGCTGCATTGGCAATCTGCATTAGCTGCGCGAAAGGCGCCACGGCAGCCACAGATGAGAAGCGTACAAACCTGTCAATTGAAGAGATCAAGGTGGGCACATCAAGAAGTGCTGCCGCTGTTTTCATGGGAAAGTAGCATTCAGTAGAAGGCCTTTTGAGAGTGTCCCAAACCATATCCTGGTCAAAGCCACAAGGCAAGTCGCACTGATGACAATGTCTGGTTAGTTGAGTATGAGGAGCCCTTCTCCCAGGCGAGTCTTGCGGGCTTTCGGTTAGTCGCTCTTTTTCCCCAAGGGTCAACGGCAAGATCTGCTGCGAAATAATTGAGTTTAATTGTAACAACCCTCTTTCTAGACCAGAGCCAGTGTTCTTGGCAATTAGAACAACCATGTCTTCACCAAGTCTAGTGTTGGATGCTTCACCAGGTTCTTTACTCGAGATGGTGGTCCGAACCTGCATATCTGTGACGAAGAGTTCCGAGTGTGCACTTTTGGAGCTTTGGAATCACTGCAGACCCCCCGATTTCAGCCAGGCAAAAGGCTAAAGGCTGCTGACCTGAGACATTGCTACTGCATTGAGAATCATCGCTTTAGTACACGTATCTTACCGGTAGTTGGGGCTCACAGGAGATTTGGGCCCTTAATCATGGGTGGTTACGGGCTGCTTATGAGCTGGTTACAATCTGGTTCAATGTCCTACCAGGATCAGGCGGTATTACCAGCCCCGAACAAGTTTAAAGCCCGGTTATCTGTCCAAATGCCTGAGCTCCAGTCTTATAACCAACCTGGTTAGCGGCCAACACTTCCTGTGGCTGTCAAATGTGTTTGCAGGATATCATTGAGCGGGACATGCTTGTCGGCCAGTACTTTGTGACCGGGGACCTCACGCGGCAGATCTACAATGACAACTGCAGGTGACCAATTTGAGGTTTTGACTCCCCCCTTTCAACCCAGCACTTGCACTTCAATCGACATTCTGCCGTGCGTCTTTGAGCGGTCTGATCTCCAACAGATGAAGGACGAATGATGTTCTTGGGTGCCACACGTGGACCCCAGTGGCCTTCCCATAATCAGGGGCGATTGTTTCCCATGCGTTTTCGTTCTACTGTGCGAAAGTTCTTTGTTGCAGGATGTCAACATCCGCTCGATTATCTGAAGCAGCCACAACCTCTTGAAATCGCTCTCGACCTCATGGTCCCTCCGACTCCGTTAAATTCTATGCATGCTTCTTCATAAAAGGCGATCCGTGGGTCCGCAGGAAATATCTCTGTCTAGCAAGACAGAGCCACGCTTTCGAGCAGCTTCGGGAACAGAAATCATCCTACACGTGCTCGTCTTAGTTGACCGCAAAATCCGGTTCGAATTTTGCAACGTAAAGTTGGGCTTCCCGTTTTTCTTCAGGTTCAAAGACCCTACCAATGACACAACGGGCGTTGACAAGTACCTCCAGGCGGTTGCGCTTCTCTTCGACCCCAAACTCTCGACTTTAGAATTGAAATCGATCAGAGTAACTAGTCCGAAGACCGTCGAAACCACCTGGGATCTACAGGGCTACCTCAAGTTTCCCTGGAAGCCAAAAGTTGGCACGTCGGGTGAGCAAACCATGGCAAGCTTAACGTCTATTATCCATCATTCCTGTCGTGTCTTTGCATGCTGGACTTCTCCTTATCTTCATCCGATGGACTAGAAAAACTCGATTTGGATCCCCGGCCACTGGCAACCAGATCGATGTTATTGGTTTCCAGAAGTGACAAATTTTGTTTTAACCCTGGGGATCGAAGGTGCTCATAAAGACTCTGGTTCTTCAAACTCCGTCGATCCGGCGGTGTGGCAGCCGCGCAAAGACGGGGCGTTGCGAAGCAGCATATCTGAGGCCGCCTTCTTCTTGCATCGCTTCTGCCAAATCAGTACCCTCCTAAAAGTCAACGCGAGATTTTGTCTGAAAAGGTTTTTCAAGAAACCATCGAGTCTCGATGCTGGTCTTTCAGTCTGTGTGCCATTCTCCTTTCAGAGACTCTAAACTTTCTGACTTTCCATGGGCCATCCGGTTTTCAGACCAATCGTGACCAATCGTGATTTATCCTCAAACCTGCAGGTTCGACCACGTACACTATGGACGACGACGGGCTCATCGTGCTGCATGATGAAAAGTGGACGATATCTCCATTCAGAGCGCTCCTAGACAGCTTCACGCCCACGGGAGGAGCTTCGTCCTGACCGCTTGACCGTTGAGTTTCCAACAGTCAATCGTATCATAGCGCATGATTCGAAGTAGATACGTTTCTTGGCAGATTCGAGCAGATTAAGATAAAAGCCTCATGGCCAAGTGCTGGCGCTTGGCTTTTAACAACGAGACGCAGAGAGTCGTGGAGTCAAGTCTGGGTCAAGTCTTCGCTACCCTGCTCATCGTTTCGAGTTGCATCAATCTGGCTGCATGCGTCTTGGTATTCAACAAAAGGGAGTGCATGAGTTCGGATACACACGCTGAATGATGGGCCGCGACCTTTGCTAGCTGAATATATGACTTTATATTTGTGATCTGCCGTCATGATTTGTGGCCCATGCTCCCTTGCAGCCATGCATGCATGATACGTTTGAAGATCAGGACTCAGCATCCCAGCAACTCAGGGCCCCGGGCCCCTAGCTGTTATACAATTGTGCACGCGTCTCCATGCAGGTATCATGCACATGCCAGCCGCCAAAGCGATCGATCCTATATAGAAATTTCGGCAGCGCACGGATTAAGCGAAACAATTTTCCACATGCACGTCCTTGCATGACGCGCGCACCAACTTAGCAGATGGTTCAAGAGTATGTTCAGCCAACACCGTGGACGGTGGAACGAGTCACGACATAGAGTCTGCTCGATTTGAAACGTCAAATAAAAATAACATGTTGTTTCGAGCCAATTGACTTAAGAGCGTTAACCTAGTCCAATAACTTATGCCGAGTCTTTCTGCTATTGATCCGTGCTCATGTAAGTGTCCACGCTAAGCCGGCAAGCGGCTCTCTTTCGTGCTGCGCTCGATCAAGGACGTGGCGCTCAGTCCGGTTCTCGACTACCAAACAACCATTTCAGAGACAATCTTGGATGGTTTTGCATTCGTGCGCCCATTTCCGTCCGCTATATATCCTACTGTCTCAACTCGCTCAACACCAGCCCCCGTGCCAAACTAATCTCTTTCCCTTCCTCCTTGCTTCGAGTTGGTGATTCCCAACCCCGACAGAGCTTCCTTCAACTCTAGTTACCTTCTCCGTTAGCGCCTCTCTCTCAACCACCCCAGACCTTCTCCCCTCATCCCGTTACCCCGTTCGTTGTCGAGAATCCCATCACGTGCAACCCCGCCGGGCGATTTCGCCCCGAAAGGCACGTCCATAACCAACTCGGTCTGCCAAACCGTCCGGAAACCGTCCGGAGGCTGCCCCGCGCAGCAGGGACGCTTACACGGCTCTCCTCGCTCGTCGAGCACCAAGTTTTTTGGGGTTAAGCACCGGGTTAACGGCGCCCAAAGGAGGGGTTTGGTGGTCACGTGGTGCCTGGCGTACGCCTCTGCGGTCGCTTGGGAGCCCACCCCGAGCAAGTACGTCTCCCACGCTTTCAGTGGAAGATCCGGGTTACGATTAACCTCGCCCATCATGTGGTTCTGCAGAAATCACGCATGGCTAGGTTTGGAATTGCCGAGAAGTAAATGAAAAGGGCTAAGAGATCAGCGAGGCTGAAGAGGGGATGAACACGAAACCCAGACCTTTCTTCCCTGCTCGTGCAACACCTTCCAGGTTGAAGGTTCTGAAGACAAGAAGCCGACTCAGGTCGAGACGCCCATAAGCACCGGGTTAGGACCGGATCACTTACCTCGTACGTTGTGAAACAACTTTAACATCACGATAATGGAACGAACTTCCTTTTCGAAACTGTCTACAAGTCCCGTCCTAAACCCGTTCAAAGCCAGGCGGCCGGAAAGAATCGGCGGCTCGGCTTACTTTACGATATTCACCCCTTCGGCAAGGAGCTACTTTCATTCATCTCGTCATGCCAAAAGGCCCAAACGCAAGGAAAAAGCTCACACATGAACATCGTCGACCCACCTGCGTGTTTAGGTAAACCAGTGGCCGGTCGCCTTTCCTTTGCCACTCCCCATATGACACGTCCTTCTTGTAGTGGTAGAAAAGCGAGAACCATGGTCCGCAGCTTCCCTTGTTGCCGTGCATCAGGCTCTGGTCTCCACTGTGGTCGAAGCTGTAGATCGAGGCCCACGGGAGGGGGCTCTCTGGCTGGAGATCTACCCCCCTGAATGTGAGGTAGTTGAGGTCTGCGGTGCGGCCAAACCTGGGGGTAAGAACTAAAACCTCACTTCTCTTTGATGTTTGATCCGAATTACGTAACCCTTTGAGGCGCTACCTAGATACTTCATTTTCCCGGTTTCTGATTTCATCGTTGGACAACTCCAAGCCGAGTCGATGAGTCTACTCCAAAGCAGCTCTATACTTTCCACAGGCACTGTCTCCTCTGATAAACGGGAGAGAAACGTCCCTGTCGAGTACTGCCACTTGTCTCCTTCCAAAAGGCTCATGTCGACCTGCAAAGGATAACTGAAGGCTATCTCGAGCTGTGTCATCGGATAGCCTCAGCTGCTGACGAGAAGATTCAGGTGATGAGTCTAGTGAGGCCCTTTCACTATCCATTTTCACCAGGATTTCAGCACATTGACTTGTCAGACAGGAGAATTAGTTCGTGTACAACTTGGATCGCCGGGCTCACTTGAGCTTGTTGAAGGACCGGTAGAAGGTCGTTGCTATTGGGTTGCGAGCTTCAAGATTGAATCTTGGGTAGCTCTCCTCGCTCTGCAAAAAACAGACAGGAGAACTTCCATCATGAGTCTTGAACCAGTCACACAACGTCTAACAAAAAAACTATCTCTGCCTCATGTCACTGTATCAATTTCTCGTCCTCACGCAAATATGTTTCTGTATTCAAGGTTTCCTCCTATAGAGTCATGCAGTCCCAGCAGCCGGCAACAGAACAGCTGTCTCAAGATCTGCAGTACTAACAGAGCATTGGGGGTCACCCTAAGCAGTGTTGGCAATGTCTGACTCCCTTATAAGAATTCCGAGTTGCTGGTCACTGGAAAACATACGCTGGTTGCCAATCGTTCTCTACAGACTTTGGAGGACCAAAGCGAAGTCCAAAATTCCAAATCATTTGGACACTTCAAATACAGCGTCCAATTGCATCTGCAGAGTTCCGAACGTCAATCTCAGCTCTTCAAACGTTCCTTTTGAGTTTCTTCTTTAGATCCCTTGATACTTCTGAGCTAAAATCCCCCAGTCGCTCAGAGATTGCCCTAGATGTTCACGTAAACAATGAATTCAAGAGATACTCTCAGAAGGAGGATTGATGATAGAAACGTTGAGGGTGGACTCAAGTCACCTCAAGGACAACAACAAGGTCACAGCACAGGCGCCCCTGGCCGTCATGTTGGAATTCGAAGAAGAGCTTGACCAGCCCGTTCCCCTTTCGGACGTCCACCTCTGGCTGCATGAAGATGGGGGCGCAGCGGGCCAGCCACGCCCGCTCCCTTTCCATTGCTGAGGCTCTCAATTCCAGGAGGATTTTGAGTCAGAGTCCTGCTCAATTCCATCAGAGGCGCAACTTTTACTTTCTAGGACAGTCTGACTAAGAATGTGAAGAAGTTTTTTGATTGGATTCTGCTTACGTGCTGGAAGCAGTCTGCGAAAGCACTAAAGTATGGCCCTAAGAAGCTGGATTCAACACAGCAACCCTGCCAGGAGCGCAGTTTGTCAGCCTATCTTGGTCTCACATGGGGAGGCGGGCTGGAATGCTGTAAGGAGAAGCATGTGCTGCTCACATCAGCCGAAATGGGTGACTGCCCTGTTGATGGTGGCGATCAGCAGTGGAGTATGAGCTTCAATTGCCAGCTTCCAGGAAATATGCAACTGCAGCTACGCAGCGTGGTTTTCAGAGGTGATTTTGTTCTATCGGCATTGCTGCGATGGTGTTGTTGCTGAATGCCCCAGAAATACAGCTTTGATTGATGCACTGTGCAGAGAGGCAGAAGGACATCCAACCACATGCATAAAGAGCAGTCGGCTCCATGCAGAGGCGACCAGCTGCTCTCGAACCTCTAGCTGGGCGAAGATTGTGAGCTGCAAAGCCTGCATCGCACGTCTGCGCGCGCATAGCTCGGTTTAAAGTTTGCAGCTCAACCGTTCCGCTCCATTTACACATAAGCAGCGGAACCCAATTCCGCCGGATCGAACCCTCATGCTGGCATTTTGTTCGCGCCGGGAAGTCAACGCACTCGGCTACGGTAGTTAGGTATTACTTTCTTTGCGGAGACCGATATGGGCCAAGTACACCTAATTTCTTGTATAAATCAAACAAGAGGAGCTAAATGTTTTGATAGCAAACACAATCTAGACTATCTTATTGGAGGAACCAACGGAAGCACGGCAACACGAGACATCCTGCCTAACGTCCGCTAGAAATTCTGTGATACATGCTAGATCCGTTCATTTTTCATTGAAAAGCATTATATTGACCGACAGCAATACTGGCACCATTAGCGGGGCCTTATGCAAAATGACCTCAACTTAGATGGGTTAAAGCGATGCTCATTGTGCATCAAGCCTGATACAAGTTCTCAAGCAAAACCACGACCTGTGATTTGGAGGGCATTCTGGCTAGCTTTTACGAATCGAGACGTGCAGTCTGGAGGGCCTCTTGGCAAGCGAGGATATGCTCCTGCAGGAGCTAGGGCCATGCGGCTGTACTAGGCTACCGAATCACCCGCTCGGCACCACGCTTCCTTTTTGAAGAAGATACTGTTCTAGGCTGAGAAGATTCTTTTCCGTCTGTACCCATGCCTCCGGCCGTGGCATAAGGATGGCGAGAAACCCCTCCGTTGCGGCCTGCAAGGATACTCGAGAGCGATCGTCCTCGCTTTCTCGAGAAGGGTCGGTAAGAGGTGTAAACTGAAGAAATCCCACAGATTCGATGCAGTTTCAAAGTAACACTGGTCATCGGTGAAGTGCCGGGATCCAAGTTGGGACACAAACCTCTCAGGAGAAGTCCCAAGAAGAGAATATGGGGTACGCAGGGCCCTAATGAAAGAAAAGCACCACTTTTCTGCTTCGCTTTTCCAAATGGGGTTTCATTGGACTTCTTATGTGTGTTGGACGTCAAGGTCGAAGTTATGGCACGAGATACACAAGTTTTCCCCCGTGGACTTCGAATGCTATATGAAGCGCAACCGAGTGATTGCGCTAAAAAGGGCAGTCCCGAGACCTGAGAAAGACGCACCTTATCTTGCAAGAGCTTGGAATCTTCCGCCAACCTAGAGTTTTTTTCTAGCAGAACCCCTTGCAAGCCGTACCTGGAAAAGAACAAGTAATAACGTTAATATTCGAATGTAAAAACGGAGGATCACAAGACGTTCCGCTAGCGAAATTATTTCCCGCGAGATGCATCCACTCGTTCGGAAGAGCTTACTAGAACACGGCGTTTCAGCAGCGTCTCAACAAACGATTGCGCACCTGGACTGTTTCTAAGAAATTGAAGCAGATATTGGCAAGATGAAGTGCAGGTCGCACGTAAACATTCCACCATGGCCAGAATGTCTTATCATCATCTGGAAACAGGCGGGTCTATTCGGCACAGAATCTTGGATCTTCAGATGCAGTCGAGCTTTCCGATCAAACTTCCTCGTTATTAGAACGTTTCTTGCCTACCTTAAGTTTCGACCGAAGGAAGCAACGGACAGCAAGCTCACCGGACGTTGAACACCATGCCATCGTCCATCACCACCTTGCAGAGATGCGAGTTTGCTTGAAGAGGCTGAGCATTCTGCAAGGAGGCAGAATTACATTGCATGCTGGCTGGTTCGAGTTTTGGCACGAGGAGCGTTCAGGTCGATTTGGAGCTTCGTGCAGCAACACAGTTCTCAAGCTGTTGCTGTGGGAGGACTGTAGAAGGGGGACGGCATCCTTCAGGTCCATTAGGCAACAAATCATCTGCTCGTGCGCTGGGTAAGCTGAACCAACGAACCAGACGCCAATCTTCGACTTGATTATAAGTCCGTCAACGCAGCTACTGCATTCAGAGCGTCCCCGACGACATCAAAAGCTTTATATTCAAGAACATCAGAGTCGCGCGCGGAGTAGGGCCAGGAACACCGATGACAAACAAGCTTCTTACCCGTTTTAGCTTCCCTTTCATGTCTTCATGGCCTTTCCCGTCCTTCTTCAAGTTGAAGTCAACTCTTTGAATATTCCGGCCCGGCTGCAAAGCAGGGTGGGACGGTGCGAGCCCGACGATGCATAGACTGCACATGTATTGAGCAAATTGGTCGGTGACACTGTTAGCGCACTTGTCGAGAGACTTTTCCATCGCACCTGATTCATGGGTCTGACTTTAAGACCTTACAGATTTGTCCTTTGCGCTCGGAGTATTGCAGCAGCTATGAATCAAAACTAATGCTCTTCATGTAATTGTTAACAGGTTAATGAGAGGTTTGGAGCATCGTCATACTTACCCGTTTGGATGCCTGTAGATATATTGATCATGCCCTTGGATACCATTTACATCTGCATGAAAGAAGCTGGCAGCTTAGTTACTCCCATTGGTCAGAACATAAATTAGACATATCAAGTAGTGTCTCCAGCTTGGAACAAGGCAGAAGGTCCCTTCATGCCCCAAATCCTTGAAGTGTTTTCCTAAGAAGGACCATAGTGAAATGTTCAAGTCCCCACCAGCATATCAATGCACGGAGACCAGAAGGCATTCCCTTCTCTGGCGATTCCCCCAATCCAAACCAGGATGGGGAAGTGTGTTGTAATTCACCTAGTGCAAAGTACTGCGTGAAGTTTCGTTGGACAGCAGGAACTGGCCTTTCTGGAAGGTTCTTCACATCTTCAGCCAAGTAAGCGGCACTGTCATAGTCATCTTCCTGCTGTTCCAAGCCCGCACTCCCAGGCTCCATCGAAGCAACTTGCCAAAAGTGGTATAGATAGTTGTACCACCTTTTTGTGAGTCTGTTGGGGTTAGATGCTCGATGAATTTAAGTGCGGTCAGTGGAGAAGGCAAGTTTTGGCACAAAGTCTCTGCCGCCCTCTAGAGACTATTTCTTATGCAACTTCACGTCAGCTCTGTGATGAAGCTTGATTTTGCTTCTGCTGCAAGCGCGAGAGATGCGCAGGCAGTGCTTTATCTTCTTTCCACTTTCAGGTCCTGTTCTCAGTCTCCCAATGATCAGAAACCCAAATGCTCAAGCACAGCGTCACAGTCACTGTTTTCAGTTTCCAATTGCCTGCGAGCATCCAAGGGCGCCCTGGATTCAGATAAGAAGATAGTTATGCAGCATTGCCTGCAGTCTCCCTGACAGGCTGCTGAACCTGACCTGGCAGTGGCAATATTAGAATCAATGTAGGCTTCTTCCTCTCACTTTGACATGATGATGTCCCTAGCTGTGAAAGCGCTCTTCCATGCCACTCCAGCTACTCCTGTTGGCTTGGCTTCGTGTCTTAGGAGGCCATATCCGTGATTCTGGAACGCATAAGGGGAGGGCCTCACCAGCATATGCAGTCAATCATGTAATTGTCGCAGGACGAGCATTCATATATTTCTAGTGCGCGTGCCAGACTACAAACGTCCCACCAGTTCTGAATTGGGCCTGCTATATAAGTGGATGATGACGCGCATATAATACTCTGTGACAGCATTCCATAGTCTGATCCAGCTTCAGCCCTGATTCAATGAATTTATGGGCGTGACTGCTGGCAGCTTTTGCTGTTGAAACACCCCAGTGCAAGAGCTAGCTGGCACCGCATTGAGCGGCACACAGAAATGGAGGGGAACGAGCGGGCTACCCAGCAGGTGGCAAGGCTGGGAGACGCTTTGGTTGGCGGAAGCAAGCGCAATGAAGCCCCAAGGCAAGTGTGGAGGCGGGATAATGACAGGGGCTTGAGCGCAAGTTCTGCAACCACAAGCCAGAGTGCTACAAAAGCTGGAAAAGTTAGAAAGGTAAGGTGCTTCTGTAATGCAAGCGCTCCTGCTACATTTCAGTTGCTCTCTTAGTGCACTCCTTGCGGTTTGAAATTCTAAAGTACGAAGGCTTTCTTGTTGCCTGTTTCTTGACAGTCAGGCTACATCCTTCTTCCCTTCAAGAATTGCTTGGTGGCAGGATCATTGTATTTTCTCTTTCTTGGTAATGGTCAATCTGTGCCCTCCCCATGCCACAGTACATGCTGGGCACAAACCTCGAAATGATCTTGGGTTTGATAAGAAGCGTAGAAAATACATTGTCAGTTTGTTGTTTGTGCACCATCTCACAGTTGAGCACCTCTTTCCTGCCTTTCCCGATTTTCCAACTGGTTCTCATACCAGATTCACGGAACTTTCCTTGAGTACAGGAATGTGATTCTTAGAAATCCCATAGGTTGACTTTCAATGGAGCACTCCTCTTGATGAAATTTGTCGGCAGACTCTGAAAGTGTGCTGTTGGGAGTGGCCAGTTGATGAAGTGAGGGCCTCTTGTGACAACATTGTGAAGCAACTAAAAAACGAGCTGTTGCATTGTTTAGAGAACATATAAAGTGTGGACATCTCAGCGCACAGTGTAATGGAAGGGCTCAGCATCTTGCATTCAGCTAGCGTCCTGGTCGTTCGAGTAACTGCTTGGCAGCCTGGGTCGTGTGAGGGGCTGGGTCCGCAGAGGTCTAATCTGCAGGCAGAGATCTAAATCTGTTGAGTCAAAATGGAAAGAAAGACTTGCAGCAGGCACAAGAGGACGCTTTCACCTCCTTCAGTGTACCCACTGCATTGAAGTCATTGCAGTATGTCATCTGTTCAGTGGTCCAGCTTGAAGGTCCAAGGTCCAAAACTGGGTCGCAGCTGAAACGCCAAAGAATCTCAGCATGTGATTTTCTGCCCCTTATGGCGGGTAGTGGTTGAAACAAGCGGGAACTTGAGATGGTTCGAACGAATCAAGAGAAAAGGGTGCGCAAACAGAAAGGGCAAAACATTACATTACTAACTGCAGGACCAGCCATGGTGCACCCGCTGCGGCGAGGAAGACCACGTGCGCTCCGAGTGCCCCAACATCGGGCGCCCCTGCCCCATCTGCTTCGGAACGCGCCCGGGGCCCTGTCGGGTGGTCATGACCCGAACGAAGCGCATCAACCAGTTTGCAAACAAGGGCGAGGCGGACGCCGCGAAAGAGCTGTTCGGGGTCATCGAGCGGGATCTGCACAAACCGAACGTGGTCACGTATACTGCGTTGCTGAAGGGGCTGATGAACGCGGGGCGGGGGGGGGAGATCAAGGAGGTTCTGCGGGTGATGAAGGAAGGTGGGGCGGCGCCGGACAGTTTAACGTACAACACACTTGTGAACGGGTGCGTCGAAGCCGGCCGGATGGAAGAAGCGATGGCGATCGTTGAGGAGATGCAGGCGGGGGGGTGCGCGCCAACCGCGGCGACGTTCAACACTCTGATGAAGGGGTTTGCAAAAGCAGGGAAGGGTCAGGATGCCGTGCAGCTCCTCGTGCGGATGGTCAAGGAGGCCGGGGTTAAGCCTAACCTAACGACGTTTAACACGCTGATCAACGCGTGGTGCCGGGAGGGGAGGATTGAGGAGGCGTGGCGGGCGCTCGAGGCGATGAAAAGCGTGGGGCTGAAGCCGGATGCGATGACGTATAACACCTTGATACGGGGGTACGCCGAACTAGAAAGGCTGGACTCGGCGGAAGCGGTGCTTCGGGAGATGCTCGACGCGTGCGTCGAACCAACAGAGGCGAGGATGGGCTCGACTTCTTAGCTCCTGAGTCACCTGCTATTTGAAAGAGAAAAAGAGTCCCTGGATGCGAATCCCACCCCTCTCTGATCAACGCCATTTTTCATCGATTAGCACGACCTCCTAGGACCTTTCAGCACATGGGGGAGTAATCCCACACCACTCGCACCAATATAGATCATCATCCGTCATCACACGTCACCACGGCGCTCATCCTGACGTCAGCGTCTGCAGGTCACGTATGGCACGCTGATGAACGGCTACTGCAACCAGGGCGACCTGCGGCGCAGCTTGGGGCTGCTGGAGGACATGCGTGTGCGCAAGATCGCGCCGAATGCGATCATCTACAACACGCTGCTCAAGGGCTACGCACGCAAGGCCGACATTGAGGGGCTCAAGCGGGTGCGTGACACAGTTTGACCTAAGTTCATTCCTCCGGTTCCGCTCTCGTTCAACCTATTGACATGTCCAAGGCACTCGTTTCTACTTGGGTCGAAGGATTTCCTGTCAAGCTGGAAAGTGTTCACGTTTTCAGGGGCAAGGCTGACATCGAGGAAGCGAAGGCCGTGCGCACTGCTCGTGTGAGTTTTTCTCATTTGTGGCAAGCCCCGAAGCCTGAATTCATGTGCTCGGTTGAACCTAAGGAATAGACTGGCAAGCATTGAGCGATGGCCACAATTGGGAAGTCCATCAGGGGTGGGCACGACCTCCGAACTGGTTTTTCTTTCTCTCGGCATCCTGGGCACAATGCTTGTTCTTCCTGACTCGTATATGAAAGTCTTCCTGACTCGTAAATGAAGGCATTGGGAATGTTTGCCTGGCTGATGGAGGTAGACGAAGCTATGTCCCACGAGGGCGGACAGCAAGGCCCCAAACAAAAACCTCCTTTTCAATGATTGGTAACCTTCAAATCTTGAAGCTCCGAAGCGCGCGGCCTTCCTTTCGTACATCCGCCAGAGTCTTTTCTAGCTCTTGATCGTAACGCCTCTCCCGCTCCATGTTGCCATCTCCACTTTCCTCCCTTGATTTGTATAGAAAGCCAGTCAAATTTTCTTGTAAAAGCCAGCGTCAGCATTCTATCCCCCCTGCCGCAGGTTTAATTGTTCGGCCTGCGATTGTATTCTGTTGCTAAGACGCTCCCTCAGAAACCAGCCCTTACATCGGCTGCGAAGTCCTCTCTAGTCCGTGCTCTGCGCTCCGTTCTTACTCTCTTTTCGCAGGTGCTCATGGACCTGGTTCTTTCAGGCCCGCAGCCTGACCTTCTGTGTACCACTTTCCCATGTTCCCCTCTTAACCCTTGCCCAAAACCCGTCTCAAGTCGACTCTCCTTCAAAGGCCGACCACCCTGATGTCCAACCCTAAACATCCCCTTAACATCCCCCTCTCTTCTCCGGTGCTCTTGGACATCTCGCCTGTGACCTGCAGCCTGTCCACCCGCAAAAAAGTATATTATTCAGTACGATTTATCTAGACTGAGATATACTTCAAAGCGATTGCTAAACTCCTCGTTACCCCGTTGTTCGCAGGTGCTCCCGGACATGGTCGTCTCGGGCCTGCACCCCGACCTGCTGTCTTACGCCACTGATGAAACCCTCTGATTCCTACCAAGCCTATAGTCCCTCTCGGCCTTTCTTTAAACCACACTCTAAACCTCCCATAACCCGTTTCTCTGCAGGTGCTCCTGGACATGGTCGTATCTGGCCTGCAGCCCGACCTGCTGTCATACTCCATCGCAATGAACGCCATGTGTGACGCGGGGGACGTCGACGGGGCGCGTCAGATCCTGGCCAGCATGCTCGCCTCCGGGGTCGCGCCCGACATGCGCGTCTACAGCACCCTAGCAAAAGGTACGTCTTCCGCGCAAAGTCTTTATACGTTCGGAGAAGACCTTCTCTGTCCGGCCCCCTGCCAAAGTGCATGATGTTGAGATGCAAGACGCTGCCAGGCCGTCGGATAGAGATGTTGGTGGAACAACTAGTAGTGGGTCGGATCTGGACGAATCAAACATGCGTGCCTGTTAGGGTTGTTGGAGCCGGGCTGGGTGCAGCATCGGAACGCAGATGTGGTGGGTGCTTGCGTCTCGTTTCCTTGTGGCATGACGGAACCAGTATTCGAAGGTCCTGCCTGATTCAGTCGGCAGCCATGGTGCCCTGTGGGGTTGCGCTTAACTCTCAAATACATGCAGGATTTTGGCAAAGTGTGTGACTTTTCTCCCGTTATATCTGGGATGATGCGGGCGCTCGTGTTTTATTTCTGACTGTCGTTGGTTCGCAAAAGCTTCTCAGGAGAGATTGCGAGCCGGCAGGCGTTTGAGCGATCAAGTAAGACGCCCATTGTCTCCATCTGCTTCAGCATGGCCAAGTGCCGACTTTTCATCTGTTGCGTTGTAGTGCAATGGCTCGCTCGATTCTCCAGGACAGCCTTTCACCCGCCAAAGAAACAAGCTGAGAGTGCGTTCGCATCTTCCCTTTCCAGGTTACATGCGCTCCCGGCAACCCGAGAAGGCGGAGGCGACCCTAGACGAGATGCTCTCTCGGGGTCTGCAACCGAACGTCATTTTTTTCGCCACCATAGTGACCGGTTGGTGCATCACCGGGCAGATGGACCGGGCCCTGAAAGTGCTCGACAAAATGCGCGAGACGGGCGTAAAACCGTCGCCCGACATTTTCGCGATCCTGATACGGGGGTACATCCAGGCGGAGCTGCCGAAGGAGGCGCAGAAAGTGCTGGACGTAATGGAGCGGGAAGGGTTAGAGGTGGATAACAACTGCTACGAGCTGCTAACCAGTGGGTTGATCCGGTTGGGTTACCCACACGACGCGCGGAAGGTGGCCGAGCGGGCGCGACGGAGGTACGGCCCGGGGGGCAGCGAGAACGGGGCGGGGCCTGCGCGAGCGCCCGTGAGCACTAGTCGAAACGTCAGCCGCGCATCGGCTGCGAACGTGGTCACACCCTCAGTATTAGCCCTTGGGGGGCGTCGATCTGGTAGTCTTCCACTATTCCTGGGCTGCCCGAAAACGAGTGCAGCCCGCACGCGTGTTGGTCCCCAAGTCCCGAGCACATTCGCTCGGTTAGATGTAAAAAGGCTCTGTAGAAATCAAGCGGCCCAGAGGTGCCCTGTACGAGTGTTCAGCTTAGACAGGCCAGTTGGCGTACCTAGTCGTCTACCATCGTCGCAAGGTTTAGCCAGAACGCGGCCAATGGTTGCAAGGACATTCGCCTTCGGGTGAGCGTTGACGAAACTGGCCATCCTCTGGTGTACTCTAGTCGGAAGCTTGTCGTAGATTCGTTGGAAGCATGGTGCCATCCGCATTTGTGTTGGTCACAACCTGCCTAATTCTTGGTGACAAGAAATCTCCAGAGCGGCAGCCAGAGAGGTTCCTTGTCAACACCCGCGGTGATCAAAGATGACCCGATCTGATTGGACTAAAGGTCAGTGTACACATTATTCTGTGAACGTCAAACCCTGTACATCATGCAAGCCATCATCAGTGACGGTCCTTTGGGACATGCTGCAAGGATGCGCCGCTGCCGCCCTAGCTATAAACATCTGCATGCAATTAGGAGGCCGGCTCAGCCCGCCCCGGCTGCTTGAATCGTTTGCCGTGCGTACGGTATATACAACGTGGCCGGCCGCGGCCTCGATCACGCATATGGTGTACTGATAAGCCGTATGCACATGAGTGTGCATACCAAGTTTCGCGCATCATAATTGACATGGTCAATAGTCACATGAGCGATATCACATGTGTGGCGGCGGCAGCGCTGATATATGCAGACCGACCTATGGGTCTCTGCTATAGCCTAGCTGATCGATTTTAGTGCAACCATGTGTCGGACGCGCCATGCACGCGTATACTATATATGAAGCGCTTGCGCACGACAGTGGTCATAACATTCTTGGAGACGTCGTCTTGTAGTAAGTAAATGGTCGGCCGAGACAATTCAGTCGATCGACATTCTACAATTATTATGTAATATGCAAACGGAATCATTTGATCGGAATGATAGTCCGACGGTGCCGAACAGAGCTTACGTGCGAGCCTCAAGGTCGCAGTAAGCTCGCGATGGGCCTTGTTTGCTCGCTGCATGATCACCACACCTAGCTGTCGACCACAACTGCATATCCTGCATGCCCATTCGAGCGAGGACAGAAGCGATTGACGGGCCCGAGGCCCAGCTGTCGCCCGGGCCGCGAAGCAAATGCCGGCCATGGTGCTTCCAAAGCCTGATGATTTGTCAGGCAACAATCATGCTCGACCAGTGTAATGATCTCGTCGAATCGTCGCTAAGTGATTGTCACGACGACTAGCTTGCAATAGAGGTATCTTGATCCTTTTTGACCTTCCGTCCTCCCCAAGCCAAAACGCGGGGTCAAAAATATTCATAAAACGACCCGTTTATGCCAGCCTTTTAGACTAATATCGACTATAGACAAAACCTTGAGACCTCACTGATTCCCTGCCGGAGGCCCGCCGACTTTCCTATCCGAATCGTTCCAACCGCGGACCCAGGCCTTGCCTGGCTCCGTCCTAGTTGCCGGGTCCGCTTTCGCTTCCAGGTCCTTGCGAACGTACTTACACAGCGACTCGAAGACCTGTCATTTGACCACATGGGCATAGTAAGATCCTCAGCAAGGTGGAGAAACCGTGCTGTCGGGAAAATGACTCTCAACAACCTTGACATTTCTTTCCCAAAGTAAAAACGGCAAGTCGCTTGACTAGCGAGTAGCGTGACTTCCACAACGACTAAAAATCCCAACAAATCGATCAACTCCATTATCAGGAGAATGGGACTCCGGGCACATCCATAATTGACTTTACAAGATTGGTGGTTACAGATGCAAAAACGAACCGCGTACTCATCGAAAACCTACTCACCGGGTTGGTTTTGAGGTCGGCGGGCGCTTCCGCCTGTTCGGTGAGCCACTTCCAAAGATCGGGATTCTCCTGCAAAACAAAGCATAACTCACTGTTCAAATCGGACCCACAAACTTTACGACCTGCTAGCCTTACTGCATCATGTCACAAACTCAAAATGGAAAAACCATCTCTTATCGAGGTTGTCCGGAGGCAATATGGGTCCTTCGCATGACAAGCGTGATCCGATGCGCCTTTTCAGACCCGCTTGGGCAGCTCGACACTGAGCAAATAAGTTGAACTTGCACTCAAATCTGGGACTTCTGCTGACTAGGAACAATCGAAATCTCGCTTCAATTGTGTATAGTCGTTCGTCTGAACTCCAAAAGATGATAATTGCAGTGCTGCTCTGCATTCGTAAACCACATGATTGTCAGGCAGAGAGCCAAGTTCTGCTTTTGTCTTCGAAAGTTTTCTGAAGTCACTGCATTGAACTCAATCTCTTCAGCTGAGGACTTGCTTCTCGTGCGTTGGACGCAACAGCCAAAGGATAACCTTTGACATAAGACACGAAGCTACGGAGTTCTCAGTCGCTTGATCTGGGGGCTGTTTTGTAAGCTACGAAATTGTCAACCAGAGGTCTAGGGTTGCTTTGCAGGTGACGCCTCACAGTCAAATGTGAAGGCGACTAAAGAAAGGTCTCTAGAAGGTCAATAGGTGAAAGGTTGGCAACCAACACGGTAAGATCCAATAGAAGTCTCTCTACTAACCACTAAAAGCAACGCAGAGCAGCAGCCAACCGACCATATCGGGAAAACAAACAGTAGGACATACTTAAAAATGGGTGAAAGTCGTGGCACTCACCTCGTCCAGTATTTGCGTGTAGTGATCCATTGCCTGCCCGTCCATCCGCGGCACGTTTTCGGAGGCCCATTTCCCGATTAACAGGTCCAGTTCGAGCAGTCCACGCTGCCGTGAGCGATACAATATCTTGTTGATGCTCCGCCGCTTCTCTTCCAACTCTGCCGCAGAGGCGCTGCCACCGCCGCTAGTTGTGGCGTCAGATTGTGGGTTGCTCGTATGGAACGATGACCTGCGGTCAATGAGATAACAGCTCAGGGGAGACGATAGACTTGAGCTATCTGTATGATAGTTGAAGTAATTATCCCCCCATTTGTTGGAAAAGCCAATCAAAGTCTGACTCTTTAGTCTGTCAAAAATTAGGATAGCCATTCCTCCAATAGATTTACTTGGGGGTCTACTCGATCATTTGGCATCGTGCTCAATGGTGCTTGAAAGAAACGAGGTTCTCGATGGAGTGGTGCGGTTTCTGTTGGCTCCAAAAGTACCTGCAAACCGCCTTCCTAATCAAGTTTGTGACACACCCTGTGAGGAGGATAGGTGGACTGCTTCATCAATGCATAACTTGCAAACGAAGTAAAGTTTCATAGCAGAGGTGCGCTCTGGCAAGAAGATGGATATCTGACAGCTATCTCGGGAGAAAACTTCGACCATATCAGCGCCAGCGAAACTGCACACACACCTAGGAGCACAGATGCATAGACCCCACTAAAGAACTTCTCTTGAGGATTCGCTGAGTTTGATATCAATCATTGACAAGAGTAGAGAGAGCTTCCCTCTTGCAATCCTTTGAAGACGACACAAGCTGCATGCCCCTGAAGAAGTGTTGACGCTTAAAAGCAGACTGCCAAACCCATTGTTCGCAATCACCGGACCGCACCTGAAGGCAAAGCCTGCTTCTGAAAGCCGCAGGGTCCTGCCTTCGTCCGATTGCTGAGAAATTCTGCAGTCTGCGGTGAGTGTTTGTGAATCAACGATGTCGAAGGCCCCAGAGGTTGCTTGAAAAACCTGACCAGCACGGGCGCAGAAACCAGCTCGCAAGCTACCTCTGACCAGCGCGAGGGCCATGGCGCGTCTCCGAATTCGACAAAGCAAAGATCCCCACAGCTTGGAATGGCCAGGCAATCGAGCTAGCAGGCGCCCTTCATCTGTAGGCGCCCTTCTTCTCTATTGTAACTCGTCAACAAAGATGTTGCAGGGGCTGTGCTAGCCCATGCTGCAGTGGCGACGTGGCACGTCCGATCAGTTCAGCACTTTTGTTGAGACCTAGGTTGAGCCGAAACTAGTGTAGTGGTCTTTCACGAGGGGCAATTACAAGGTTACAAGGTTACTCTGCTACTTCCGTCAGCGGGTTTCAGTTATCCTCCAGCGTAGCCAGGCTAGGGCAGTTCACCATAGAGCGGCCCGCGCGATCGAGAGGTCGGTAGGGCTCAGAGCCGAGGTAGTCCAGGACGGCCGAGTTCGCACTGCAGACTTGCACACTTTGTCTAGGGTAGGAGGATCCTAGACCGAGACCGGACTCTTATATCTTCGGACTGTTGGCGTTGCCGACCCATTTATACCGGGCTCGTGTGTGT